AGGGAGGAAAGGAGAGATGGAGAGAGGAAGGAAGGGAAAGAAGGAAAGAAGGAAGAAATCAAGGAAGGAAGGAAATCAAGGAAGGAAAGGAAAAAAGGAAGAAAATCAAGGGAGGGAGAGAGAGAGGAAGGAAAGGAAGGAAGGAAGGAATCAAAGGGAAGGAAATCAAGCAAGGAAGGAGGAAGAGAGGGAAGGAAGGAAGGAAATCAAGGAAGGGGAGGAAGGGAGGATTTTTTCTGCTTTCTCAAAGTATTAAATAGTCCTTTTTCCCTCAGAATCTGCTAATCACTTCTTTAACTTCCAACTGGGCCAATGGGCCTCAGCCATCTTACTGCAAAGTCTCTGCGCTGAATCCCAGCTGTGAGCCGCGATTGTCCAGGCCCGTTGTTTGGAATAGAACCGAACAAATGAAATTAAAATATCACCGAGACAAAGACAGGCCTAATTTTTAAAGGGAGAATCTTATAGATTGCCGTGTAATGGCCCGTGAAATAAGAAAGGGCTCCTTCAATTAATAGTTTTGGTGTCTTGTGGTTTGCAATCCTAAAGAGAAAGAGAGTTTACAGATCTTGTTTAGCATGTGTTCAAGTCCAAGAGGGATCCTTGATCTTTACTCTTGATTCCAGTGTTGGGATTCAAAAATTTTTTACTACCGGTTCTATGGGTGTGGCTTGGTGGGCGTGGTGTGACAGGTGTGGCTTGGTGGGCGTGGCAGGGGAAGGTTATTGCAAAATCCCCCTTCCCTCCCCACCCCACTCACCTGCTTTCCAGCTCCGTTCTCCTGTGCAGGGCAACCAAAGAAGACCCAGCCAATCAGCTGGGACTCGGGAGGCGGAGAATAGATGGGGGCGGAGCCAGTCAGAGGTGGGATTTACTGGTTGTTGAAACTACTCAACATTTCCTCTACCAGTTCTACAGAACTGGTCAGAACCTGCTGAATACCTCCTCTACTTGGTTTGGACCTTGGATGAGAACTTACTCAAAATTTCAGACAATTCTGACAGACAAGAATACAATTTTTTTTTTAAAAAAAGAAAGAAAATCTTGGACAAAAGAGAATAACAAAACATTTCTTTGCTGCTGCGATGTTGATTAAGACTAGGAGTCCGGTTCAGTTCAAAGATTTTAATTTTTTTTTGCAAGAAAATAGGATTTTTGAGATGACAGAAGATTGCCAAGGAAAATGGAAGGAAAATGAACATCCAAGCCAGGGTATTATCTTATTGTCTTTCATTTTTGATGATTTAAAACTGATCATTTTTCCCTCTTACTGACTGCTGCATACGTATTATCACATCTTAACTTTCTGTTTGTGTTGCCTCTTCTATTGTTCATTTTTCCTGGCTGCTAATCTCCACTTCTTCGTGTGAGCTTATCTACCACACTTTTTATTTAATTTAGGATTGATCACTTTGGAGGGGAGACGGGAGAATGGAACGTTTGGCGGTTTTGTTGCCGTAGGAAATTAACCTATTCCTCATTAACCTCGCAGCTTTGTTACGGTTCTGTCAAAAGCATTACTCAATGTTGTGACATTTTAAATTAAAGCTCTTGTCTGATTTCTGATGAATAAAAAGCTAGGCGCCTGGGTTAACAAGCCATGTGAACCGTAGAAGAGACGAGCCACATTGGGTTTTTCCAAAGAGGTTGGGAAGGCAACCAGGTACCCTTGAAGAAATCGGGGTGGTTTTTTTTTTAAAGGAGATTTCCCCAGGCTGGGATGTGGGAGCGAGCGGATACTCCTGATCCAGATTAGCCCCCTTTGCAAACTTTCAAGCCAGAGTGACCTACCTCCTTTTTTACAGATCAACACAATTGGAAGGGACCTTGTAGGTCATGTAGTCCAACCCCCCACCCAAGCAAGAGACCCTACACTATTTCTGATAGCTGGCAGTCAGTCTCTTCTTGAAAGCTTCCAGGGATGAAGCTCCCACAATTTCCAAGGGCAACTTCTCTTCCATGGGAAGATTGCTCTCACAGTCAGAAAATTCCTCCTTATTTCTAGGTTGAGTCTCTCCTTGATCAGTTTCCATCCATTGTTCCTTGTCTGGACTTCAGGTACTTTGGAGAATAGCTTAACCCCTTCCTCCTCTCTGTGGCAGCCCCTCCAATATTGGAAGGCTGCTCTCCTGTCTCCCCTGGTCCTTCTCTTCCCCAGACTAGCCAGGCCCGTTTCCTGCAACCATTCGTCGTATGTTTGAGCTTCCAGTCCCCTCATCATCCTGGTTGCTTTTGAAGGCTTAATTATCAGCGGGCTCATTTTTCAAAGGTATCCGACATCAAGGCCATTACCTTTTCCTAGGAGACATCTTCATTGTTGCCCAATGTTTGTATTTATCTAATTTGATATGGCAAAAATCAAATATGGTGAGGCAAAAGGAACCTTCCAAGAATCTTTCCTTAATCCTCTTTTTCCAATCTTGCTTTTAATTCATCTGCTTTCTTTCCAATGTTTGTTGGCTTGTTCAAGCAGGAAGTCTAAGGCTTTCCAACCATTTCTAAAAGGAGTTCTGGTGGCACAGTGGTTAGAAGGCAGTATTACAAGGCTAACTCTGCCTGAAGTCTGAGGTTCGATCTTGACCGGCTCAAGGTTGAGTCAGCCTTCCGTCCTTCCGAGGTCAATAAAACGAGGACCCAGATTGTTGGGGGCAAGTGGATGACTTTGCAAACCACTTAGAGAGGGCTGGAAAGCACTGTATAAGTCGGAGTGTTAGTGCTAAGTGGGAAGGAAGGAAGGAAGGAAGGAAGGAAGGAAGGAGTGCAGGAAGCCGATGAGGCCACGCCCACCCAGCAACTGAGCAGAGAACCCTTTCCTAAATTTTTTGAAGGCCATTCCTGCCCAGGATTGTATATATCCTCAGGTAGTTTTGCATTCAAGCATCTGTCTTCTGGGCATGAATGAAACTCAGAAGGACGCCCGTCTACAGAAACGGTTCTTTGGGCCGAAATTGTTGCAAGGAACCCTCCGAAGGAATTGGCTTGATGACAGCAGAGTGGCTGGGCTCCTAATTTGAACATCCATCTTTGAATGCAGCAAGTTGTGCAGTCCCTAAACACAGCAAATTACTGTACTGAAGCTATAATCACCTTCTCCACACACTCCAGGGTTCTCTTTTAGTGCTCTTAATTGGATGATGAGCTCCATGGTGTCCCATCTCCTTCCCACCACTTTACTTCAATGCGTGGTGTTTTTTTTTCTGTTGTTGTGGTGGGGGGTTTGCGACTTGAAGAATACCGCCGTTGGCTCCTTATGCTGTGTCTTAAAGAAATATCTACCTGCAAGCATGTGAAATATATGCACATCCACGGCAGACTATGCATATATAAATCCCAAGGCAGAATCAATCTGACTAGTCAACATTCCATATTCATCCTCTTCTTTTAATATCCCCATAATCCTTTGTGGGCAACTGAACAGAGTGTTTGAAGGACCAGATGCTCTTCCTGTCACCAGTGCGGAGTTTTGTTCTGCAAATATATTCTCGGTGACTTCAGAAGTACTTGTCTCGCGAAACCTTTTCCATGGAGGTTCTTCTAAACATATGACAGGAGCCGTTTCCAGTTAAGACCAGGGGTGGGCTTCAAAAATTTCGGCGATGTGTTCTCTGCCCGGTTGCTGGGTGGGTGTGGCCATGGTGGGCCTGGCCTAGACCCTTGATGGGAAACCTATGGCACGTGTGCCACAGGTGGCACACAGAGCCATTTGTGCAGTCACGCGAGCCCCAGCCAAACTTACCTGCACTGCACTTCCGTTATTTCCAGAAGGCCCATTTTTCGGCCTCCCGAGGCTGCAGAGGCTTCCCTCGAGCCTCCAGGAGGATGAAAATGGGCCTCAAACGGGCCGAAAATCAGCTGGGAGGTGCACGCATGCGCAGTGCAGGTAAGGGGGCAGGGCAAGGATGTTGCGTGCATGTGCACAGGGGGAGTGAAGCGCATTGCATTATGGGAGCCAGCACACACAGACATGCTATCGTACTTTTGGCAACCACAACAAAAAATATTTGCCATCGCTGGCCTAGATGGCCTCCTGCACCACAGTGGAGGGAGTGGCCTTTTTGCATTCCCCAAGCTCTGGAAGCTTTGTTCGAGCCTCCAGGAGGGCAAAATGGCCTCCCTGGGCTCCTTTGGAAGCCGGAAACAGGCCCATTTCTGGCCTTCCCAGAATTTACGGGTGGCCCCTTTTCCCCTCCTCCCTGAGCCTCTGTGCAGCCCCTGCACTTACCAAAATGGGCTGTGTGAAGACTCCGGGGAGGGGTGGGGTGGGCATGGCCAGCCAGTGACGGGATTTGGTGGTTTTCCAAACCAGCCATAACTGGCGAATCCGTAGCAGACCACCCTTGGTTACGACCGTTTCCCGCAGGAACCTGGCGCTTCCTAAAGACCCATGGTGTAAAATAAATCACAGTTCCACTGATGTTGGCTTCCCAATCACCGTCGCAAGCTTTCAAAAGAACCCAGGTCTGCAGCAGTCCAGATAAGAAGGCGTAAATAAATAATAGCAATGTAATGAGGTAGCTGCTCAGTGTTGCGTTAGCCTGAGCCACTTGGTAAAAGAGCATTTACTCTCAACGGCCGTCCTTTGATCTTAATTTCTCCCCACCCACCCACCCGTACTAAACCCCTCTCTCCCCCCAGTCTCCATTCAGGGCTCTGCTCGATCGTGATGGAGTAACAAAAATTCACTTTCCAGATCGATATTTCTTCACTTCAGACGTTGTGGTGGCCTGGAGAGGCAGTGGCCCATCTGCTCCCAAACTACATTACGGCGGAAGGAAACCAGAGCAGGGAGGGGGCAGAGACCAGCAAAATATGGAATCATTTCTGCATTAACAGATGGGACGTTGTGCAAATATTGATTTTTTTCTTTCTTTCTTTCTTTCTTTCTTTCTTTCTTTCTTTCTTTCTTT